GCTTATGGGAGAGTTTCTTTTTAGCTTTGTATGGCCCAAAATTTTGCTTTTAAGCCAAAATATTAAGGATTGGCAATCAAAATAATGTTGCAAATCATTATTTGTGATGTGGCAACCTTGTCAAGGCATCGGACGATGGGAGTCTAGGACTGTCAGACGGGAATTCCCCACCTCCCAAGCAAATTTGGAATGATGACGTCAACACACACCGAATTCCAAGACTACGACAATCAAAATTAAAGGAAATGTTTATCTATTTAAATTTAATCTTTCTACACTACATTTTTCTTCATCATCATTAGTATACTATTATGTTGTTACTCTATAATATTATTAATATAGTATATCATTATTCTTATGCGTTTTGAAAAATTTATAGTTTATAATTCACATTAATATTAGCGTTAGTACTGTTATTCTTAATATACTGATGTCATTATTATTATTATCATCATCATCTTCCTTATTGTCATCCGCATCCTCATTATATTCCCAATTATAAGGAGGATGTTGATGATGATGAGGAAGAAAATGATGCTGATAAGGATGGTGAGGATAATGATAATAAGGAGAAGAATTAGGATGATGATGATTATGATTGATGATAATGGTCGTTGATGAGGGTGATCGTGATAATGATGAGGATGATTGATGAGAATGATGTTGATGAGGTTAATGATGACGAATGATGAGAAACATCAAGTNNNATCCTCATCTTCATTCTTGTCGTCCTCATCCTCTTCATTATCATCCTCATGATGAGGATGATGATTGATAATGATGATTAATAAGGATGATGATGATGTGGTCGATGATGAGGACAAGGATGATGATGTATGATGATGATAGATGATGATTGTAATGAGGATGATGATGAGGATGATAATGACAATGATGATGATAATGAGGACTATGATGATGAATGAGTGATGAAGATAAGTAGGATAAGGATGAGGTTGATGATAATAAGGATGATGATGGATGAGGATGATTAGTAGGATGAAGGTGATGGTGATGATGTTAACAATGATTGGTGAGGATGGTGATGAGGGTGACGATGATGGATTAGGATCAATGCCATGGCCAGGATTTTCAAACGGTGTGGGACAATATCAGAGCGGACCCACTTTACGTGTAAATTCAAACAATGTGGACCCATTTTACGCAAAAATATGAAATATCTGGACCCATTTTCTTAAATTTTACCCATATTTAACTAAATATAAGGTATCTGGATCCATTTTATGCATAACATTACATAATTTGGACCCTTTTTTAAAATGTGGACCATTTTTTATGGACCCATTGGAAAAATGGTGTGGGACTGCCCCAACCAATAGCTGGCTATGCCATTGATGATGATGAGGATGATGGATGAGGATGAATATGATGATGAGGATGATGAAGATGAAGAAAATGATGAAGAATGAGGAGGATGAAGATTATGAGGATGATGATAACGACGATAGATGATTGATAAGGACGTGATGAGGACGATGACGATGGATGAGTATGATGTGATGATGATGATTACAACGATCGATGATAGTAAGGATGATTATAATGATTAGACAACAATGAGAATGATGATGACGATGACAGATAGGATGAGGATGATGTTGACGGATGATGATAATACTGTAATAATATCAATAGTGGTAATAAAAATATTATAAATAATATTATTATATAACAGTAGTAACAATGTAATTCATTCTAATATTAAAATATAATTTTGAAATAACAGAAATACAATACAGTAATGTATAAATAATATTATTGATTTCAACAATAATAAATAAGCATAATACTACTATTAAAATAAGAATATTTATATATATTCTATATGTGATTGCTTTGATGAGATTGTATTTTGTACAATAGTAATAATAATAGTAATAATAATAATAATAATAATAATAATAATAATAATAATAATAATAATAATATAATAATCTTACAAAAATAACCATTTTCTCTGCCAAGATGAACGCAATCTTGGAAATTGGCATTATAATCATTTCAATTAAAATTGATAAAGACAGTAAAGAGTAACTAGTTAACTAAGTTTATTGTCAGTTTTCACATTTATAGCAAAACTATAGGTGAATAATATAATGCCATATTTTTTTTTTTCAATTTACCCCGATCCGAGTCCATAAATTGAATTGTTGGGTCAAAATAGGATATTTTATGTCAAAATTTCAAAGTGCTATAAAAAAAATTGCCCAAGCTCTAAGAATGGGGATTTTTTTTTCTGAGACATTATATGATATACTGATTCAGAAAAACCAAAAATAAATTTTCCTTTACTTTTTTCCCGCTAATTTCCTACTGCACCCAGGCTATTAGGCAGGGTAAGAGAGGTGGCAAAAACTGATAATATCCGCAATACTAAGAATGGTTCATGTTCTTATTTTTACTCAAATGATATTTTGTATCGAAAGTTCTCTTCAACAGGAAAATTGGTATTCAGCAATGAACAGGTAGTGGTACCAAGCATTTTCAGAAATGATGTTATGAAAATGGCGCATGAATCTTTGTTAGGTGGTCATCAGGGTAGAAGAAAGACAGCAGACCGCATCTTAACCAGTTTCTTTTGGCCAGGAATCCATGGGGATATCAGACGCTTCTGTCAATCATGCGATGTCTGTCAAAGAACTACACATAAGGGACGGGTTACGAAAGTACCGTTGGGTAAGATGCCGGTTATTGAAGTTCCATTCGAGCGCATTGCGGTTGACATTGTGGGACCTATCCAACCAATTACTGAGAGGAAGAATAGGTACATATTAACAATTATTGATTACGCCACTAGGTACCCGGAGGCAATTCCCTTACCGAATATAGAAGCGGAACGGGTGGCTGAAGCCCTGATGCAAGTGTTTAGTCGAGTTGGGATACCTAAATCCATTTTCACAGACCAAGGTTCACAATTTACCTCTGATTTAATGAAACAGGTAAGCCGGTTGCTATCAATGGAACAGCTCACAACTACACCATATCACCCAGCCGCAAATGGTCTTGTAGAGAGGTTTAATGGTACTCTAAAACTCATGTTAAAGAGGATTTGCAGTGAAAAACTACGGGATTGGGATAGATACATTGAACTGCTACTTTTTGCAGTAAGGGAGACACCTCAAGAAAGTTTAGGTTTCTCACCCTTTGAATTGTTGTATGGTAGGCATGTCAGAGGGCCAATGGCAATTCTAAAGGAATTATGGACGGGAGGAGTACAGACGGGTGAAACAAAGACAACGTACCAGTATGTACTAGATTTGCGAAATCGTTTAGAAGAGACATGTCAAGCAGCCAGGGAAGCCTTGAAGGTATCTGCAAAACGTTACAAGACTTACTATGATCGTAAATCCAGAAGTCGTAAGTTATGTGTTGGAGACAATGTTCTATTGCTATTACCAACTGATCACAATAAGCTTCTTTTGCAGAGGAAGGGGCCGTTTAAAGTAACAAAAGTTGTAAATGAGTTTGATTATGAAATAGATTTGAATGGTAAATGCAAAATTTTTCACATTAACCTTCTCAAGCAGTATTTTAGCAAGTGCTCAAATTCAGAACCATCAGGCCAGAAGAGTTATGATAAACTTGATGTTGGATGCACTGCTGTGGTAGAAGATGACGATGGGGAATCTTCAGATGGGACAGAAATGTTATCAAACTCTACTTTACTGCAACCATATCCGCTACAAGCAAAAGAGAGCATTGAAGATGTGGTAATAAATGAAAGCTTAACTACTTTGAAGAAACTAGATGTAATGCAAGTATTGAAGGGGTTTAAAGACATTTTAACCGATTTACCAGGACAAACGACTTTAGGGCAGCATGATATAAAGTTAAAGTCATCTGAGTTACCAAAGGGTAGGCCATATCCAATTCCGCATACTCTTAGGGAGACTGTAAACGATGAAGTTAAAACTATGTTATCATTAGATGTAATTGAACCATCGATCAGTCCATTTGCTTCACCCATTGTGTTAGTGAAGAAACCTGATGGGTCAAATAGATTTTGTGTTGATTTTAGACGTCTAAACGAGAACACTGTGTTCGATGCAGAACCGATACCAGATATGGATGAATTGTTTGCAAAGATAAGAAAGGGTAAATATTTCACCAAGATTGATTTGTCAAAAGGGTATTGGCAAGTACCTATGGTTGATGAAGCGAAACCGCTTACAGCATTCATTACTCCCAACGGTATTTTTCAATTTAAAGTAATGCCTTTTGGATTAATAAATGCACCCGACTCTTTCAGCAGGATTATGCGTTCTTTGTTAAGGGGGATGGATGGTGTAGTAAACTACATTGATGACATATTAATCTATTCCACAACTTGGGAGGAACATGTAAGGTCTATTGAAGAGTTATTTTGCAGGTTACGGGGTGCCGGATTGACTGCTAGACCAAGTAAATGTTTTGTGGGACAACATCAGGTTGCATTTCTCGGTTATGTGGTCGAAAATGGTATGTTACTTCCAAGGGCCAAGAAAATAGAAAGCATTTTATGTATTAGTCCTCCAACAACAAAGAAACAACTTAGGTCGTTTTTAGGAGTAACAAATTATTACAGGAAGTTTGTGCCGAATTACGCAACAATCGCAACACCCCTTACTGATTTAACAAGGAATAAGGAACCGGAAAAGTTACGTTGGGAGCAACAACACGAAAATGCCTTTAGGTTACTGAAGGAGAGATTAACTAACTACCCTATTTTACATCTTCCTACGAAAGTGTTAGTGTTTTGATATATTTTTCTGGGTGCCAGTAATAGGGTTCTGCTACAAGAAAGAAGTAACGAAAAATTCCCGATTGCGTATGCCAGTCGAAAACTCATTTCAAGGGAGAAGAACTTCTCGACGATCGAAAAGGAATGTTTAGCGATTGTGTGGGGGATTAAGAAATTTGAAACTTTCTTATATGGGCGTGAATTTGTCTTAGAAACAGATCACCAACCGTTAACTTATCTAAAAACAAGTAAAGTTGCAAATAGTAGATTAATGAGGTGGGCTCTTGCCTTGCAACCTTATACATTCGTCATTAGAACCATAAAGGGAAATGATAACGTTGGTGCAGATCTACTCAGCAGATTGTAGATGGGTTTAAATGTAAATGTTAACATGTAATAGGGTTTACATTGGAAATAAAAGTGATTTGAAATACGAAAGTGTTAGTGTTTTGATTTATTTTTCTGGATGCCAAAGTATTATAATACTTTGCTTGAGGAAGGGAGAAAATGTGAATGTGAGTGTGTCGTCCTGGACATGACGTTAAAAGGTATCCAAATAGAAGTGTTTTGTTCGTTTTGAGGGAAGCTGAATGTTTAGTTGAAAAGCAAATTCTGAATTTAGTTCGATCGAAGGTTGCAAGAAATTGGTTGTTTTGATTGTTAGTTGTGATTAGTTTTAAAAAAAAACTTTGTTTAAAAGAATGTATTTGGTTGAAAGGTGTAGAAGAAATGTGTTCGATGTGGAAGGATTGGTGAGTAAGGGAATGTTGTGGGAAAGAGAAACCTATATTATTTTTTGTATGAAAAATGTTATTTGTGACAAAATTAATAAATATGGAAATGGTGTTATATTTATTGTATGTTTAAACAAGGAAATGCTAATTTGAGAAGAAATGT